CGCTGCCTCCCCTCCCCTCGCTTCCGTTGTCGTCCTGCGGACGGTACAGCGTTTGAGAAGACGCCTCTTGTCCGCTGGTACCGTCATGCTGGTAACATATCGGATTTATGATTCGCAGACATGAGAACCGCCGAGTCTGTATAGTTATTAAACCTACATTTGCACGGTCAGCTACACGTCAGATCACGGACATGTGTGGTCGGAAAGTGATATCCAGCAGACAGAAACGTGACCTTTGAGATATCTTCCATGGACTGCAAACATTCCCTTTCGGATCAGCTTATTGTGGTGTGCAGCTGTTTTAAGAGAAACGTAATCAGAAAAGTGCGAAAGAATGCATCGCTCTGACGTACTGGAGTAGAATAATCAAAAGCGGGCGTCATTTCTTCGTGAAAGGAAGTGTTTCACATTTATAAGGGGGTTTTGAACTGAAATAGCCATCTTGCAGACCATTCAGTGCCGTTCACAATCCTGCCCTTCTTAAGACCTAAGCCGCTCTAGTTGCTGAGCTCCATACGTGCTAAACCGGGAGAGGTATATCGGAGAGTGTTTCAAAGTCTTCTTGGCATACCTGACGTGACAATAGCCTCGTTCAAATTCTGGCATTCCATAAGCCATGTGGTGATCGAGGCAAAACAAAAATGTTGAAGCGTTCATATCTGGCGTTTGCGAGCACGACTTCCAAATACAACGCCCATCGATTGGTTCTCAATCCATGTTGTACAAGGTACGGTGACGTAATCAAACCATGACGCATTAAGGACCATGTTTAATAAACAGAAAATTGTGATGTCTACAACGTTCTTTTCGTTAAAAGTGAGCTTGTTTCATCATATCTGATACTTGCCTTAATATTTTTATATGTGAAACATTCCCTTTAAGCAATCGAGTTAATAGTGAGTGTGCTTCATATACCTGTCCAAGTAAAAATGTCGCTGAGCATACCAACGTATTTGTCAGCCTGTCTGGATATATCCGGCATGCCAATGCGGGCGCAATCTTCAGCGATCGTCTCAGCGATTTATTGATGTCGTACTAATATCGACTTCATGGAGCACCTTGTAGCGCGTTCGCGGGCGTGGGAGAACAGCCTGACCTGATGCTGAGCTATTTCCCATAGCTTCATATTGCGGTTCGCAGCTGAGCGCGTCGTCACTCGAAGCTGTGTAACATGAGCTGCACTTCCTGAGTGATAAAGGTCCTCCCCTTTGGCCGTCCCGGCCGGGGCGGACCGGACCATGTGAGGTCGGTGGCCGTGTGCCAGAACCACTGCTCGTGTCTAACTTAGCGATCATGTGCATAGTATTAGGACAAGTATTCTATTGAAAGCACTGGCTTGAATACCCATAGACCTAGGATTCATCTATTGATTACTGCCCAACAATGTACTTGAAAATAAGAGTGGAAAAAATACATTGGGTCGTTGGTACGACACGCTGACCACATGTCAGCGGTACCCAGTGTTTCTACAAGTACCTCGCGTTTGTTAGCAAAAGTAGTTGGGATGATACGATCGTGTTCATCAAAGTGCCTCGTTGCTGCGTTGTACGAAACAGGAGACAGTTGAATGCACGCGTTCCACACATAGCACACACTCATATGTACGGTATTACATACATCAGAAAATCCACACACACATTGCAGCTGAGCAGGCCAATTGGTGCCGAGGTATCGAGCGGCTACCAGAGCAGTGAAGGTCGAGACGGTGAGCGTGAGCCGTGCCCCGAACGTGAGCAAGCCACCATAGTTCTAAAGTCTCTTACAGGAAAACGTACACCACTCGCCCGTGGGCACTGTCGGCGGCCAGTGGGGGTGAAAGGAACCGAGTGTGGCTCAGTGGCCTTGTCGGTGGCCATAGGGAATGCAGGGACGGTCCGAGCGGTGCTCAGTGGCCCTGTTCCCGTGCCAGAGAGGTTGGGCTGACCATGCTGGCTGCCCGCCAATCAGCCGTAAAATTAGCCGACGGGGCAGGCGACAGACCCGGCCGGCCGGCGGCGATCCCCGTGACATCGGCAGCCAGCCGCTTCGGTCTGTAGCGCAGCTGACTCGGGCCTGACCATCGGCATGCCGTACAGCTGTCATAGGCTTGCCAACTGGCCTACATGATCTCTGCGTGAAGTCTGACCACGAGTCTTCCGGAGGACTGTCATAAGTCTGATCACGGGTCTGCCGGACCACTGTCGCAGGTCTGACCTCCATTCTACCGGAGTCTGTCGCAGGTCTGGCCTGGGGATGAAATGCCTTCTTTTCCTGTATCCAGTCACCACTATCAGTCTCTTAGCCAGTCCCGTCGCACCCCTCAGTGGCCAACGTCGCCGGCAGTCCCCTCCCCCCCCCCCCCCCCTCCCCGCCCGGCCCGACCCCCACCTGCTGCGCAGCCATGCGGAGTCGGTTGCAGAGCTCGGGCGCCTTGACCATGTCATCGTTTAGCGTCTGCAGTAGCTGGGTGATCTGAGCGGCCGTGTCGCGCGTGGCACCACCGTCGCCCACGGGCAGGTTATTGAGCGCCGTCTCCAGCCGCTGGATCTCCTCCTTCAGCTCCTCGTTCTCCTCCTCCATTTGGCGACAGCGAACGCGGTCCGCCTCCAGCTGGCTCTGCAGCATCTGCCCGGACACGGTGGTGAAACGTATGACGACGCGTCAGGCTCGGCACGGGTGGGACAGGGGTGAGGCGGGAAAGAAAAGGGATTGGACAGGGGACGAGGTGAGAAAAGGAAGGAGTGGGACAGGGGATGGTGGTGGACATGAGACGGGACGGTGGACGGGATGAGACAGGGGACACTGTGGGGCAGGGGAAAGGGTGGAAAGGTGGGCAGGTGGGCAGTGAGATTAGTGACGGTGTGGGATAAAGAACGAAATGGACTAAGACAAGAGGTGGGTCGGAGGATTTTTTAAAGATTGAGTCCGACCACTTTGAATGGATGAATTTCTGGGATCAGAGCTCACGCTAAGCAGCGCTTGTTGTAAGAGCCCTGACGACCACCATCCGATCGCGCAATTCCAGGCAACGGCAGAATTTCGTGGCGAAAGTTTAACGTGCCGCAATGCTCGGCACGTTTCGCCCTGCCTTTTGACGTCAACTGACCTTTAGCGTGACCGCTCCCACCGGCCACAGGCCATACTTGTCGAGGGAAAATAGTGGGGATGGAGGTGAGACATAGAAAAGGGTAGAACAAGGAAGGAATGGACAGTGAATTGATTTAATCGAGAATGGGGCGGGACAGGGGACAGTGTGAGACAGGCATGGAGCGGTGTGGGACAGGGAACGGGATATGGGAAGGGATGGAGTGGGGATGAGGTGGCACACGGTACGTGGTGAAACGGTGGATGGTATGGGACAAGGACAGGTGAGACGGTGGACGGGACGGGATAAGGGACGGCTAGACAAGAACGGGTGGTACAGGGGTGGTGTGAGATTACTGAAGGTGTGAGACAGGGGACGTAATGGGACAGGATGGGTGGGACAAGGGATGGGGTGGGACAGGAACGGCGTGTGTGGCAGGGAATAGGTGGCACAGATGTCAGGACCGTCACAACGCAGACGGCGGAGCCGGCCAGGAGTACAGAGGGGGCGTCACAGGTCATGGACCGGGACCGGGACAGCACGGCATCCCCGGGTAGGCTGGGGATATTTCTAGGCATGGACTATGGGCACACAAACCACAGAACAGGGAATGCATGGGTTCATAATCTGGGAAGGTGTGAGAAATGCAACGACAGGACCATGTCGTCCCATTAAAGTCACTGACCGTATGCTGTCGACGCATGTTACTACGCTTAGCCACTCGAAATTATTGAATAATGGCAGGACATCTTCATTGAGACTTAGGCTGTTCTAACATAAGCATAGGATGCCCCAGTGCAATAGCCCATAATTCAAAGGAAGCGAAGAGACATCTTTGACGCCGACCCAGCTGCCAGTCGAGCGTATGGCTTGACGCCAGGTGACCCGCATGATGGCGCGTCTCTGGCTCCAACGTAAACAACCAAATACTTCACGGGCCACCTTTGCGTGGATTCGAGGAAGGGACGGACGGTAGGCCGGTTTTGACGAATGCACGAGTGGTGAGTATGGTTTAAGCCCACACATTCGTCAATTCCCTCGAGGTGTGAATTGGTGGCTATCATCCCAAACAACAGGTCGCAGAGGGGTCGGGCGGCCTCCAAAGGAGACGTCACGAGAGCGGTCCGTGACGGCGCTGAGGCGCGGCTCGTCGATCGGGTGCCGCGGGCGGGCGGGACATTCTCTGTCGGAGGACAGCTGCGCAAGGGCAGCGTGCTTGGCAGCTGCAGCCTGCGGGGCCGTCACGCCCATGCCGCCAGCTGACTGATGGCCTCTGGGAGCGTGCGGCGAGAGAGCAGGGCCGCGGCCAGGGCGGCGTGGCTGGCGCGCTGTGTGGGCGGTGGTGCTCGTCTGGCGGCTAAGGGGCGGCGCCAGCTGCGTCGCGGACTCGGGATACTCGGGATACGCCCCCTGGCGGATTCCGCTGCCGCCATGACGGCGGTCGCCCCAACTTCAGCTGCAGCAGGCCAATGCTACACTCAAGGGCTGCCAAGAAAAAAGGAAGTGTAGTGTTGTGACAAAACGTCGATAGAGTAATTTGGACCACACCATGAAAGTTAATTTTCTCATTACAACCTGATAGTGCTGTGGATGCACTACTCAGTACCATTCATAGACGTAACTGCTCATGGGGTTTCACGACAGTTTGGTTTGAAAATACACCCCAAGGGTGGAACATTACCTTTAATTAATTTTGTAAAGTCTTGGAAGCTTTAACGAAAGAAAACTGACATTCCTGAAACTGAAAACATTTTGAAACAAACAGCAGTCTCTATTACGTCATGGTCGGGAAAGCAGGATAACTCAGTGCTTTGCACTGCTTTTCTACTGCACAGAAAACGCAGGAGCCTGCATGTTTAACCGGTATTAATATCAATGTAGGCAGCTAATAAGCATTGGAGCATGCAAGGGTCAACAGCGGGATTCCTGGCATGTCAAATGTGTCACTTTCATCTGTGAGGCGTGAAAAGCGACAATATTTTAAGTACGAAATGGTGGAATATTCTAAATTTGCACATTTTTCCTTTTTGTGCCTCGTGATGTAAAGCAGACTCTCGTTGTTTCACATTACTTATATGCCTTTCTATGTGGGTTGTATTTCAGCGTGCAACTATCACACTTGGTCAATGGGTGATAAGTTTTGTAATCTACTAATCTACATTTGTGGCTGCAGGAGAACAGCTGAGGCTGTTGTTCCCGGCACGCATGTGCCACTGTTAATGGGAAAGTGAATCGACTGACATTCGACTCACTTTGGCTAGTCGATTAACATGCACGTTTATGTTGTGCGGAGGTTGTGTAAAGTCCGAGACAAGTGTGACGATCTGAGAAAGCGCTCTTGCATAGGAACTCACGCCTAAGAGCGAGTACAACTCCTCATTCATGAGAATGTCTGGGAGTCGGTTGCAGCAAGGATCTGCTGCAGGTGAGGGACGATCTCCCCGGCAACACTGAAGTCCAGTGGGATGCGTGTAATTGCAGCTGACTCCCAAATCTTAACGCCCTGACATAGACCGAAAGATGTAGGTGCTTGGATCCACAGCACGGATGTCAAAACCTCAACGGCTTCCGGAACGGCCTCGTGCAACAGAGCCCATCATGACGAGAAGCGTGGCGTCGTCACAACTGCCGACTTCCCGGCAGCGACCCCCGGCCACAGCCGACCCTTCTCTAGATGATGGAGCACCACGGCCGAACCCATGACATGCTGCCAAAACATGCGACCGCGTGGCTTTGCGACAGGAAGCACGCGATGCGACGGCTTCGCGATCACAAACACGCGATGCGATGGCTTCGCGATCACAAACACGCGGGTGGTGGCTTCGCGATCACAAACACGCGAGGGGTGGCTTCGGAGCATCCCTTATGTTCCAAGGCGCAGAGGTCAGGGAAAGGAACTTACGTCTGTTATATATAGTCAGGCATGTAGAAAACAACAGGCACGCATTCATGTGTGTCCGTCTCTGCATGCTAAAAACACTACCGCTTCAAATCTCACTGGCTTAGAAACCAAAATGAGGGCTCTGCCGAGTTTAGACCTGGGGACCCCTGCATATCCCAGGTCAGGTATGTTGCAATCATGGGCTTTTGTACAGCAGAACGAAGGCCGCGTATGCACTGCGCTAAGTTGCTCTCTCTTGTGAAAGCCTGATGGAAACTTGAAGGAAGACTAGTTGACAATGCAGATTTAAAAGGTATCCGCTCACACAGGCAAATTTTGTTGATGTCGAGCTCTTTTACGGATAGCGCTTAAGTTCGTCAAATCAAAGAAACAGGCATTGTCGGTGATTTTTTTTTTGCCTGTTTTCTCTGTCTGGTGGTTATCCTAGAGCTTGTTTTGGTAATATTATGCAATAGGGCGCGAGCAGCCGTGATCAAACGCTCTAATCTATTAACCAATATGCCATGAGTCCTCTACAGAAACCGCATGGTGAGGCGACTAGAACCTAAAGGGCATCCGCCCCTCACGACAGAACGGAATTCAGTCCTCCGGAACGACACGAACTGAAGCACTGGAGCGAGCATGTGGGGAAAATATTTGCATTCCTGTGATTTTTGGGTGTGGGCGGCCTGCCTGATGGGTGATGACTGGTAGCTTCTGACACGGTTATCGGGGGCGGACCTGCGTGTCGTTGTCTGTCAGCCGCTGCGCCTCCTCCAGGCTGAATATCTTCTCCTGGAGGGTCTGCTTCTGGACGTTGACCTCCCGCAGCTCCTGCCGCAGCTCATGCAGCTGGCTGTCTCGCTCCGGGTTGGACTAGGGGCACAAATCGAAGGCTGGCGGCGTTAACAGCATTTCCATTCTCTCACGTTTAATGGCTGTGTAAAACGGCATCCAGGTCCACAAACTGTGCAATATTTTGTTCGTGGTTAAGGCATTGCTAAATTTCAGCTTGACTGGCTAAACAAAGACAGCATGACCCCCTGCCTCAATAATTTTTAAAAGAGTGGTTTTGAAATCGTCCTGTGTTATGCATACAATGTTTGTTTTATTTTTGTAAGGAGCCCCTTCCGTAAAATACCAACGGAGGATCTTGCTGCGACGTTTTCTGCACGTAGATGTGCGCTTAATTAACTCTGTACAGCAGCCTGCTGGCGACTGGTGATTCCGTGACCGATCGTCATTATGACTGTCGCCTTTCTGACCCGCATCTGTTGCTATCTCCCGCGCACACCACGCCCCTACACTACCGACTCTGTGACCGTCGTTCCCACACCTGCCGTCCCCAAGTCTGGTGGCCGGCCAGCGCGCGGCTCGGCTCACCGCAGCCTTGGAGTCGGAGAAGAACGTGTTGCAGCTGCAGCGACAGCGACAGCCGGTCGAGGCCGAGCGGCGCGGCTGTGAGCTGCGGCCCAGGCTCTGCCGGGCAGCGGCCGGTGAGGCGTGAGCGAACGTCATCCTGTCAGCAGATCGACGACAGGAGACGACGGGTCCT